GCTTCCACATCAGCCTCCCCCTCGGCGATATCGGACTCGTTGGCAGGAGCCGTCTTCTTCTCGGTGACAGGCTTCTTGTTGGCGTTGGTGGAACCCTTCTTCTCGCGACGAGGAGTCCCCTTGCCCTTCACCTTGAAGCCGTGTTTCTGCTGCAGGCGGGTGAATCGCATACGACAGGAAGCCTTGTTGATCCCGAGGGTATCCGCTGCAGCCTGGTGATCGACCTGTAGTGAGGTTTGGTTAGTATGATCTACAGTCCAGCCGTTAGGTACATGTATCAAGTAGCAGAATAGCAGATAACCAACCTTCATGGGATCGAGAAGGGTCAACAGGAAGACCTCATCACTGGTCTTGGGGTCGGTTACCTCAGTCTTGGCCGGGGCCTTGACGTTGAGCTTGACCTTGGCCTTGGTCTCGGCCGGTTTCTTGCCCTTGGCCTTCGACTTGGTTGCGGGAGCCATGGTCAAGGTTGAAGATGTGTTGGAAATGATGAGGATAGTGATGAAAGACTTGAGTGGTTGGATCAAAGTTCTGAGTATGGTTAGATGAGAAGGTTAAATGAGTATGTGCGGAAGAGAAGAAAGGAACAGAGAGGAACAAACAAGTGGAGGGGCTTTTATACCTTGAATTTTCAAGCAAACGCCCTGGAATCAATATGAACACTTAGTTCTCAATTGCGGTGCCAATACGACAAACCACCCAATACGGTACATGTTAGAGCCCTGGAGAACAATTCTCTTTTTGGCACTATCTGTGTCTCGAATACGCAAGCAAGAACACTTGGTTTGGAACCTATCAGCTAAGAGGAGCCGCTCGAGACACTGACTTCTATTATGGACTTAACTGGAGCCGAGGTTTACATTCCCATTGACGTCGTCGACGATACACAGGCAGCATCCCCATTCCCTGTCCATTAAGTAGACGAGGCAGCATTACTTCCACTTTACAGGTACACTCCCGCGGCGCGTCGACGACATTTAGACGAACGATCTTGGGTATCTCCCTCCTTAACCGTCTGCAGCACGTGTTGATCACATCTATACTCGGGACTAGGGAGCTGAGGAGTCTGTTGCGAATCATCTCTAGAACTGAGATGGATGGATTCTAGACTATAGTTGGCATGGTCCTTAATCAAAGTTTCAAGACGAGCCCGATGACAACAGAAGTGCAGAGTCCTTCAGGTCGCTAACAACTAGAGAGCCAACAGGATGCTATTGATCTACCAATGAATAAAATTTGACCTATATATGTGCCCTGTGGTTACTTGAGGCTCTTGCATTTCGACTGCAGGAACACGCGTGCTCCACTTTCAACCTTAATCCCAGAGGTCATCCACATGGATAACTCTATCAAGTTTCTTCTCTGCTTTCTTCTTAGGCCCAAGACAATCAGAATATACGCAAAGGAGACAGAAGGCGGGGAGGCTGAGACAAAAAAAGAAATACGTAAACAAACAATGGTCAAGACCGAGAACGAACGGCATACCAAGCCAATGTCAAAAAACAGAGCAAAAAATGAGAGAACGCCCCCGGGCGCGTTAGCTAATTCCGGATAGACTAACGCCGAAGGGCATGTAATATAGGGACTTGATATCAACTTTAAGGGAACAAAGCAGTTATACGGAAAATAGTAGTAGACGTACGTACATCAGAGGGCCCAGGCCGGATCCCGTCTAATTAGCCCCCAAAAGTACGCCCATCGTTCTCTGGTAGGGAATGAGTTCTGTGACTGAATCCTCCAGTCACTTAGCTACCACTGTTTTCACAAGACAAGGCGAACTACAGATACGAGCAATCGTTTTCTGCACTAATACCTATAGTTCAAACGAGTGTATATTCCAATATGGAAGTAAGAATAAATTTAAATCTAGAAATCGACAAAAGAGCCTGCATGTAACTCATACATAATAAATCGTCTCGCAGACCCGAACCTAACGAAAGAAAAGCATTCCAATCCAATCTATCCCATGACCCGTAACCCATATACCCTGTATAATATACAGTACTGGGCACTTGAGTCAATCAATCCCAATACATCAGACCCTCACCTCCACTGTACGAAGAGCGGAAGCTGTCTTGCGTGTGACATCAAACATCAATTCATATCACAGGCTGAACACCAGATTCAGCGCAGCAATAGATGGCGAGGAGCCGCTCAGCCGCTCAGCTACTCGGTATTTACAAAGGAGCGGGCGAGGGGAAGGGAAGGTTGGTAGGGAAACCAGTGGGGAAGGCAGTCAGGAGGCCCGGGGGAATGGAGAAGGGGAGGTCCGTGGGGAAGTCGCGCTTCGATTTATACCAGCCGCTGGCAACGCCGGAGGGAGTGTTAGTCGGCAGGCTGGTAGGAGGTCCGCTGGGAGTAGGGACGCTGCTGGGGGGTCCGTGAGGGGGGGCGCCCTCGTGACCGAGTCCCAGTCCCCACTGGCGCTTGTCGAAGGGGAAACCGGAGGCCTCGGGGAAGCCACTGGAGAAGCCAGAGGGAGTGGCGCTGGGAGTGCGGCTAGCGGTAGCGCTGCATGGGGTGGCTGTGCTGCTGGGGATAGCGCTGGGTGTGTGGCTGTGGGGACCAGCGAAAGGAGGAGGACCCTGTTCGCCGGCGTGAGGAGGGGGACCCTGAGGCAGGTCGGCGACGAAAGGAGGAGGGCCCTGGGGCAGGGCGAGGGCACAGCCCATCATTCCCATAGCAGCGATGGCGGTGAACTTCATTGTGATTGGTAAGGATTAATTGTAAGATACCAAAGTAAAGAACGGAGAAGTTTGGACGAAAATCGGGCTTGGATATATAGGTGGTATATCAAAGACAGATCTTATAGTCCAGAGAAAACCGACGGAGGGCCTAGGGCGGCTTTATAAGATCGCTGATTTATCAAGCTTATTGATCTAGGAGGTCCAAGGCCCAGTGGACTCCGTGATCGCGCCATGACTTCAGCCCTGTCGCCTCCTCAGAGGCTAAGCAGACCGGAAGGTGGACTGGCCGGACGACGATACTTTGCGTGTGTCGATCTTAACTCCAGGGACCTTAGGGTTGTCAGGGACCAGGTACAAAGCACCCGTGGATGGGCAGAGGCACATGTTCTGGGGCTGAGGTATTTTCCTCGAAGCCTTCGCTGGCCAGCCAGCATGTAAGAAAAGGTAAAAAGTGGTTCCGGTGCATTCAACAAGGCAACTATCGACGGGACGGTTGGGCTACAGGCGCCACAGCCAGGTACTACCAAACAATAGTGCGACGATCATCTTCCGCGTGCAGAATAGCATAAAAAGCGAATCGATGATTGTCGGGCTGGTCTGACCGTATCAAGTGCTCCCTTCGACTCGTTCGTACCTGATAGGCTCACGTTGTGGTACGGCCGAGAAGGAGTTCTCATCCAAAGCGCCTGATCAAGTTGCCCCTTTTTTGAGGCCAGAGCACATCATGTCAGAGATGATGTGCTCATCCCTTCTTTTTCCGGCGTCATCAGACTTGGCCTGTAACAGAATGGCTGGACACTCGTTTCATATGTATGGATTTCGCCACATCGTGCGTGCAGAAAGGCAGAGGCGGAGTCCACAACCTGTTCCAGGATGTGCTGGTTGTCCACGTACGGGGGTGGGCTCAAGGTGGCTGAAAAAGTAGCAGAGCCACTGATTGATAAGTGAAGACCAATGGTGACCGACTGATCGGCGAGGTGGAACGCTTTTGTGCCAATATTTCCTGAGTTGGGAGCATTTAGGCTGATTTTGGATCAGCAATGGAGACGCGCTCAAACCGACTCATAATAATAGTCCCGAAGGTTGAGCTGTGATGTGTTTCACTGAGACATAGAAAGCATCGACTGTTTCAACAGAAGTTCGAGAACATAGAGATACAGGCCGCAATCTTGGAGGTGGCCTGGAACATCACTTGATGGCCGAGTCGTCGTCAGCCCTTGGAGTGAATCGGGGTCTGGCCCACAGTGGAACCCGTGACATAGTCGACGTTAGGGGTGGGCAACTTCGGAGCAACTTCCACTTCTTCCTTGAGACACTTGCAACATGGGTATCACGGCAGAATATGAACCTATTTAGTGTTTAGTTTCGATATCGGCATATCAGTGTTATTGTACATGGCCATGGATTGCTGTACATATAAAACGCGTGTATCCATGACCTATCAATGTTGACTGCCGATTGTTTCCTGATATTGATTTGCCTCTGACCTCCACTAGCTTCTCTCTAGTTGGCTGTACAACGGCGCCAAGCATTCTTTTGTGGCTATTAAACTCGCTGAACGGCACGTTCTCGGGACTGGTGCTGAGAAACAGTTTAGCTTCAGGGCCATTAGCGACGGTGGAGCCTCGTCTCCATCCTTGAATCTAGGGAGTGCATAAAATAATATATCCTTAACTTAAAACATGGCTAGTCACCTGAAAGTCTAAATCCGACGTCCATTCCATCTGGGGTTTCAACACCCCACGGCGTGGAGGTGGAAAATTTCCCTGCTATATACAGAAAACTGCCGTATGCACGTCATATGTTGTAGATAGCATAAAGGAAACGGGAAGGAAAGAAGCGAAAGTTGCGAATCCAGCGGATTCGATACGCCGAAAACTGAAACCCAAAGAGGGATAGCCAAAAGGTGGTCTAGTATGAGGATGTCGGATTCCATGGACAAATACCCCTTTATAAATGCAGCAAACCGCAGACACGATAAGCAAAGAGAGAGAATATAAGCGAGACGGAGAGATGCAATGGATGCTTAGGCTGCAGGTGTACAGAATCACAGAGTCGACAAGGTTGAAAAAGCCTATCCGAGTGTGATGTTGTACGGGACCATGAAATTAGTTTCATTCGAGGGGCGATGTCAAAGAATCCGGATTTCGCGGCCCGTCGCTCGCGAAGAAGCGAGGAACGGAGTACGATGCACAATTAATCGTATATTCTTCAGTGGCGCTGTTTCCGCGTTAGGGAGTCAGGCGAGCTCGGATAGACTGTTGGCGTTGGAGTCATGCTGAGCAGATGGCGGGATGAAGGTGGTACGGTCATAGAGAAATCGCGAGCCGATGCCGCGTAAGCCTGCTTTGGGGAACTGCGACGAGCCGTAGCGGAAGGGGTGTATGCCGCGCCAGAAGAGAATGAGGATCGTCGGGACCGGATGGGGCTATGGGGTCCGTGGCTCCTATGTGCTCCACCAAATGAGGATGACTCCGAAGACGCTCGGTATCCAGCTAGTTTGGGACGAAGCGCGTAGGCTCGTTCGAGCTCATCGTCGCTGCTTGACCCGATGTCGAATATCGCTCCGTTGGCGAAGGATACTGAGGATGTACGGCGGTGGGTGGCTGATATTGGGGTTGACTCGCTCGACTGCGACACAGGAGGGTTCTCTAGTGAAACAGTGCTTCGTGCCTTTCTCAATTCCCGGGCTGGCCGATGCCGTGCTTGCCCGCCCGAGTACCTCTTTTGCAGCTCGGGGCTGTGGGATCCTCTTCGCCTGTCGCGATAACGTCCCCTTCCACTGTTGTCTGCCGAGTCAATCGAGTGGCGGCTACGGTTTGGCATACGTAGATCAACCTGGCTCGGACTGAAGGCTACCCGGGCCCGCATATTTTGAATGGCATTATCGAGTGCCAGCTCAATGGCGCAGTGGTTTCGGATGCGGCTTAGTCTCGGCCATGTCGCCCGCTCGCCACTTAGGCATGCTGAAAGCATGAACTCCGTTGTCGGATTCTCTAAGAGGCGTGGGAAGTTGGATGAAATGAGTTCCGGGTATATGTTGATGTCTCCATGATATTTCTGGTTCACAATGGAGGCAAACTTGGTCATTGATGTCGGGAAGACTCCAAGTTCCGAGAGGACATTCATCCGATGCAGAACCTCGTCTTTGGCAAGGTGTGTCATCGTATTAATCCATCGAGGTATGAATGAAGGGCCGTCGCTAGTCTCATCCCGTGGGCCTGTTTCCTTTGGAAGGAATGGCACCACATGTGGGTTCACCTGGGAGACAATGAAATGATTCACGTTAAACATCTCTGATAACCGTGTCATCGGCAGATCTCCATCGACGGAGCCATCGATATACTGTTTGTGAAGATCATTCCACGGGACCGGTTCCCCTGTCAATGGATCTTTAGCCATCAACGTGAATGGCCTGAAGACAATGGGAACAGAGCATGATACCGCCCTTGAGATACGTTAGAAATTCGTTGACAGGATGAGGAAATGGGAACTTACACAGCAGACCAGATCAACACATTGGGCGCAGAAATATAGTTCAACAGCCGTGGAAGTTCATACATGCCGGCACTTGATACGCAGATGTTTAGGATTCTGCGGGTGCGGTTATATGCCTCCTGAAAGGTCATGTCTCCCAGCCAGCCCCTGATAGTCTTAGCCAAGTGGGATATGTCAAGAAAGGATCCAAACTTCAAAAATCGAGTCATCTTTTGCAGGATATTTTCCTCTTGGCCCTTCTCATTGAAGACGTCAAAATCCCCGTGTACGTAAGTATCCAAAAGCGCTGGCAGCTCTTCATCTGTGCGCGTGCAAAAGACCGCGCACACAATGCTACCAGCAGATGCACCTGAGATAATTCGAGGGATCATGTTTGCCTCATAGAGGGCCTTGAGAACCCCGATATGGGTCATTCCAAAAGTGGCGCCACCGGAGAACAGGAGCGCACTGCGACCAAATGCCTGTCGAGCTGCCAGCAGCTGGTCCAGGATATACTTCAGCTCCAACCCATCGCAGCGATCATGCACCGACAGGTCCACCAGGGTGGCGATGGTCTCCAAAGCCGTGGTAATGTACCTATCAATCAAATCCTTGGTGCCGATATGCGAATGGCGGTAGAGGGAGGCATTGCTCATGCGCGCCAGGTCCCGACTCAGTGCAGTGCGCACCAGAAACAGCATCCGGCTTACATCGCAGCTGATGCGAGCATCTTCCAATTGTCGTAAGCGATCCTGTACCAAGCGAGGATCGTATTCGGTGCACTCGAACGTCTGCTTCCAGGCGTCGTTGTCCTCCAGTCCATCCAGCTCACTGGCGCAACTTCGCCATTCCTCGTACGACACAGCCTGCAGCCCAGGGGTTAGAGAGGGTCACTCTGCAGATGCGATTGCCCGCTCCAGGTACACCGCATGTACTTACGTTCTTTATTTTCAAATATAGGACTTGTTTGCGGTCCTCAATATCCGCCCTTTGTTTCCGTTGTTCCTTGGAGAGACCATCACGGTAGGTATGTAGAGTATCACCGGCCCAATTCCATGAATCCTTCACGAGCGACGATACAGCTGGGATGGAGATCGTCTTGCGGAGCCGTGGAGGTGAGCGTTGGGACAAAGGATGTTCCTGAGAGTGCTTGCGCCCTTGCTGGCACTGAGCTATTGTGGGGTCGCCCAACACCGACATGGCAGGCCTGTGCATTGGGGAAGCAAGCCATCCAGCCAGGGTCTGAAATGCGGATGTCTGTTAACTTGTTAATGAAACTAGTATAATAAAAAGAACTAACAAGTCAATGAGTTGCAAAAGTAGAGATTCTACATATTCAAGTCAAGTTTGGCGGTGACCTAGCAAACGTCACGAGGGCCAATGGTAGCCAGTTTCTTCGGGCCGTTTTTGGGCTGACCACTTTGGTTTCTTTTGTTTTTATGACGATTTCACTATCACTCTGTTGCTCTGTTACTCCAAGTGGAGATATTCGATTTATAATATTCCAGCTTATTTTTGTCTCCTGTGGATAATATCAGAAGACAGGTTGCTTTCCCCATGATCTCACCCCCGGTCATCCCCCATCTTGGACCGTGGGGAAGGGAAGCATATAATATTTGCCTACAATATGCTCCGTACACTGGATGGATTTCTCATATTTTGTCAGGATGTTCAATCTTTTTCAATAATGATGCCCATTTCTCTTTTACAATCATTTGAATATGACGTTCTCATTGGGCATCAACCCCATAGAGCCCCGGCCGGGGGCTTCTTCACATGCAAGCGGCATGTGAGCCCTCCAGGGATGATTTTTCGCCTTCTATGTCATCCTTGGAGATTTTGTCGCTAAAATTCATGCGTATATGGGGAGTACCAAATATGATTGGACAGCCAAATAACCAAAACAGAAGATTTCATATCTGACAGAGCCACTCCTTCAGCGCATGTCTTGCCTGCACTTCGACCCCATTCTCGCGCCAGAAGTGGCCCGCGCCATCAATCATCCGAAACTGGAACTGACTGCGTGGCATGTGCACCATCTCATCTGACCACCTCCGCAGTTTCTCAGCAGATGTGAAGGTGTCCTGGTTCCCAAACAGCGCCAGGGTATGGTGCGTGCTCTGCTGGTCTGCTGGACGCGGGCAGGGGATGTGGGGTCCTTTAGGAGTCTCCTTTTTCACATTCAGTGATAAGGTCGAGAACACAGTTAGGAATTGGCTAATCGGGGGTAATAGCGGACACACGAGGAGATAGGAGATGGATGTTGTCAATGCACCGAGGCCTGGAGCGTCGGCCAGATTGTGACTCAGTAGAAGTTGCTCCAGGGACAATGCGACTATCCGTTTTGCTGTGCTCCTAATCTCGTGTATGGGTGTTGCTTTGTTTGTAGAGGTTGTCGTTGGCGCGGATTGGAAAAGGTCCAGCATAGTATCCAGGGTCGGTACATGTGAGGCAATCAAAGACCCATACGAATAGCCACCAATAATGAGACGGATATCTGGGCAACTTTTTACCCCGTCGGTGGCTTTGCAAGGCTTCGAGTGTACTTGCTCACCCCGGGCCAATGCGAGCTTGAGGAAGTGCAGATATTGCAACATGAATCCGTAGAACGACACATAATCACCAAGCTCGGGCTTTGCAGTCCAGCTTGTTCGTCCTTCGGAGTGGCCAGCTCCACTGTACATCATTCGTTAGCAACTTTGTCATGGGGGAATGTTAGCAATGGATGATTATACCGAAAGTTGAAGGTCCCCACGATGCAGCCGGCTTGCAGAAGTTCACTGCCAATGAAACTGACGACTGGATCATCGTAGCATCCTCCCAGAGTTGCGTACGGATGCGCGACAATGGCACCGCGGCTGGGCCACGTTGATGCTGATTCTATATTTTGGAGCGCGGATGGGAGATAAATGCGACATTCGAGTTTGTTGCCATCATAAACAGATGGGAGGTAAAAAGAGAAGCTTGCTGACGGAAGATCCATGGCTGGGTCTAATTCATTTCATATCTCTTTGCTTTGAAATGCATCGCTTACAGTTCGTTGTTATAGGAAGAGGTCGAGGGTGCGGCGAGGTTTCGGTGGTCCGCCCACTCCAATAATTCGCCATTTGAACATCGCCCTCAGAGTCAACTGTGAGAAATACTGGTATAGCGAGAAAAGAAAATAGCGATCTAACTTATCTATATGATAGGCGAACACTAGAAATATATTTATCTAGCGAAAAGATGAAATTACCACTTGGCTGGAAGATGCATATGTGTTATGAAGATCATGCAGATGCGGATTATTATTCATTTAAACATCCCAAAGACCTGATCAGGTCAGCCATGACGGATCTGGCTCATCATCCTCTTCCGATCTGGCATCAGAATGATGGGGATCTGCGTCCTTGAGCAGATCGGCTGGAGGTTCTGGGTTGTCATTTTCCAGCTGACCCGCACGGGAGTCCTCATGTCCATCCTCCAAGCCTTGTTCTATCAGAGGAGAATCTTTGGGAGAAGTAGAGTCCAAAGGTGCATCATCTTCATGCACCGGGAGGCCGAAGGCGGGAAGAAGCAGGCCCCTTGCTTCTCGCAGGGCCTCTAGCTCGGCTGCAATGCAGCAAACTAATAGCTTCCAGTCCTTATCCTCGGCGAGCTCCAGATGTGATTCGATCCGGTGAGTGGTTCTCTCCAGGTCATCCACGATACTCCTGACGAGTCTGTCTTTGTAACCTGTCGGTGTGGATCCTTCTGACTCGGTCGTTGATGTGGTCATCTCAACATAATGTCGCATGTTGGCTTGTAAGCGCTTCTCAAAGCCAGTGACATCGGACACCGCTTGTTTCCATACTCCACCTCCTTCTTCCAGTGCCAGTATTTCCGCATCCACTTTCTGTTGCCTACTGCGCAAAGTGATCTGTTCGGTGTTCCAATGCTCCTGGGCCATGTCGAGTGTGCGACGTTTGGGGTTCAAAGAGTGAAAAGTGGATTCGCCAGGGCTTTGGGATAACGATTGGATTGGAGGGTCACGGAGGTAGTTTCGGATGTCGGAGTCGAGTAAAGACAAAGATTCAGTATAAGAAGAAAGTTTGGCATCGACCGAGTTGTTGACGTCTGATATCTCCTTCAAGAGATGTCGATGTTTAGCTTTCATCTCATACAGCCTGGTCTCCAATTCATGAATGTCAGTCTCGAGGTTCTGAGCCTCTTCTTCTAGTTGCTTCGAACGTCGGCTCTCCTCATCTCCATGTATAGTAGTAATAGCATCTTCTAGACCATGTCTTCTCGAGAAGAAGCTTTGGATATCATGCAGCGCATTCTCCCTTTCGTTGGCCTGAGACGCAAGAATGTCTCGCTCTTCTTCTCGTAACTTCAGTAGATCATATATTGATTGAAATATGCCCTCTCGGGCAGCCCGAAGCCCGATTTTCTTGCGCGCAGGCTGCCTAATGGGTACCGTGGAAAGGGACTGTGATTGACTCGCATTAGATGACAATGTTGGAGTCAAAGTTCCGGTCGAGATATCATCTGCTTGAGGCCTAGCGAGAACAGAGAGAAGGCCTTCGCTTTGAGCATCGATCAGGACTTGGAGATTGCGCTGTATATGTTTTGTCTGACGCTCGACATACAAAAGAGGGTCATGGTGGTAAATAGAAGCCCCAGCCGGCACTGGTGGGAGCCTCTTACCGCGAAAGGATTGTTGAAGAAGCGTTGACATGATAGAGAAAGGAGAGTGGGTGGCCAAGCTTCAACCAGGGGAAGAGTTGAAGCTTTGTCGCGGCAGTCCTGGGTGCGAAGACGCTATTAGTAGTTTCAGTCCAAGATTGATCAACGTTGGTATCATCACCGACCAGAAAGAAGGAATATTCGCCAAGTGATCGTGACCTGTTTACTGCGGACTGGGGCCGCTCGCAGCTGACCGAGCGCCATCCATCCACGTGATCCTTCATGTACAGTCAGCTCCGCTCGGGCGTTGACGTTGCTCGCGCCAGCAAAGCTTCTGACAACTGCTCCCAGCTTCCATTCGTACGTGCCTTCATCCATTTCGTCTCTTTCATTTAATCCACTTTTGTCTTTCCTACCATATTCTCATTATTCGAGGTGACTGATTCTCCCTTGACAACTTGTTCTGCGCTGCGGCTGATTCGCTGTTTCAAGCTCTCTCCCGATTGACGTTGCTTCATCACAACAGCAACAGAACACCTATCATTCCTTAAATTCCGTCCATCAAATTGTGACGCGAATCCTTTCTCAATAAAGATGGTCGGACTCATATCGGCCGCCGGTTTGGTTGGCTTCCTCTCCGAGCCTGACCCAGAGCTCAAGGTCTTTGCCTTGAAAACATTAGATTCTCAGATCGATCATCTCTGGACAGAGGTTGTAAACGCTGTTCCTGAAATGTGAGTTTATTTTGACTAGACTTGTGAGAATGACCTTCATCTCGATTGTTGCGTCATTTCTCCCGAGTCCAACCGGCTACTAGGCCTTTGCTGACTATCCATCTAGTGAGGCTCTCTACGAAGATGAATCATTTCCAGAACGCGGCCTTGCGGCACTAGTCGCATCAAAGGTATATTATCATCTGCAGGAATATAACGAGAGCATGGTTCTTGCTCTAGGCGCTGGAAAACTGTTCAAGTTGGAAAACGGCGGCGAGTATGAGGAGACCATTATCGGTATGTTGAGGGAGATCCGCAGCGTTAGCTCTCTTTGATACTAACATGTTTGTTCATGTAGCGAAATGCGTGGATACCTTTGTATCTCTATCTGCCGCCCAACGGCCTACCTCGGGCGACCAACCAGCCAATCTGAACACTGCATTCCCAGCATCGGGCGACGGTGCCACCAGCACATCCGCCAGCCTCACTTCTCCTATCACACCTTTCTCCAAATCCGCACTGCCCTCGAAATCGTTGCTTTCTCGCGCGGAGGTTCCCGGCGTGGACGCCGCACACCCTGGTGGCGACGACACTAGCGTTCAGCACGAGGAAAACTCCCTTGTGTTGAAGCGCGGTGTCCAGGGTCAATTGCAGACCGTCATTGAGCGATTGTTTGAAGCATGCTTCCGACAAAAGCGATACCGTCAAGTCATTGGAATCGCCATCGAGGCAAAGAATCTGGATGTGCTCCGTATGGCCATCCTCCGCGCCAGTAGCGACGAGAAGCAGGAGGAAGGCGACTCCCGTGGGAGCGAGGAGCTCATGGAATATGTCCTGGACATCTGCATGGGCATTGTCCAAGAACGAGCCTTCCGCAGCGAGGTTCGTGTTCCCCGAATATTTCTGCACAATTTGCCTGAGTCGGCTAACCATGGCTTAATTTTTCTAGATCCTGAAACTAATTTTGGAACTTCTTAATGAAATCCCGGCACCCGACTTCTTCTCGATCGCCAAATGTGTCGTCTATCTTAATGAACACTCGATGGCCTCCGCTATTCTTCGTCAGCTGGTTGAGAAGGGAGATGCGCGATCCCTCGCCGTTGCCTATCAAATTTCATTCGACCTTTACGACAACAGCACCCAAGAGTTCCTCCAGAAGGTTCGACAAGAGATTTCTGAGCTGGTTCCCGAAGACGAGGCGGAGAAGGAGAACAATAAAGAGGACCACGAGCCAAGAGAGTCTGATGCATTACTCGAAGACCAGGGAAGCTCCTCCCGGCCCTCGGGTAAACGTTCAGATCTACCAGAGGATGCGGTGACTGCATTCAAGAACATTCTCTCAATTCTCGATGGAATCAAGACCATCCAGTTGAATCTGGAATTCTTATACCGGAACAACAAGGCCGATATCGCCATTCTGAACAAGATCCGTGACAGCCTCGAGGCTCGCAATTCTATCTTCCACACTGCGGTGACACTTTCAAACGCGTTCATGCATGCGGGAACCACTCACGATAAGTTCTTCCGTGACAACCTAGAGTGGCTCGGCAAGGCCGTGAATTGGTCAAAGTTCACGGCCACTGCTGCATTGGGCTGTATCCACCGCGGCAACCTCAGCCAGGGTCAAAAGCTCCTCCAGCCTTATCTGCCCCGCGAACACATCGCCGGAGTCGGAGGCTCAGGATCTGTCTACAGCCAGGGTGGTTCCCTTTACGCCTTCGGTCTCATCTACGCGAACCACGGTGGCATGGCGGTTGATATCATTCGCGACCACTTCAAGAAGGCTACGGAGGAGGTTGTTCAGCATGGTGGTGCCCTTGGTCTCGGTGTTGCGGGCATGGCGACAGGCGACGAAGGCATTTACGAAGACCTGCGGAACGTCCTTTACACTGATTCGGCTCTCAATGGTGAGGCCGTCGGTCTCGCCATGGGTCTCATCATGCTTGGCACCGGTAACATGAAGGCTCTTGAGGACATGATCCAGTACGCCCACGACACGCAGCACGAAAAAATTGTGCGTGGTCTGGCCATGGGTATGTCTTTGATCATGTTCGGACGCCAGGAAGCTGCCGACGAGCTCATCAACGGTCTTCTCGGTGACCCCGACCCAACTCTGCGCTACGGTGGTATCATGACCATTGCCCTGGCTTACTGTGGCACCGGCAGCAACAAGGCAGTCCGCAAGCTTCTGCACGTCGCTGTCAGTGATGTTAACGATGATGTTCGCCGAGTCGCAGTGCTCAGCTTGGGATTCATCTTGTTCCGCAAGCACCAGAGTGTTCCTCGCATGGTCGAGCTGCTTTCCGAGTCATACAACCCTCACGTCCGATATGGTGCCGCCATGGCGCTCGGTATCTCATGCGCCGGCACTGGCTTGGACGAAGCCATCGACCTCCTGGAGCCTATGCTTAAGGACTCCACCGACTTTGTTCGTCAGGGTGCCTTGATCTCTCTTGCCATGGTTCTCGTCCAGCAGAACGAGGCCATGAACCCCCGTGTTACCAGCCTCCGCAAGGCCATGATGAAGATGCTTGGTGACCGTCACGAGGACGCTATGGCTAAGTTCGGTTGTGCCATTGCTCTGGGTATCATTGATGCTGGTGGCCGGAACTGCACTATTAGCTTGCAGACGCAGACTGGTAACCTCAACATGCCCGGTATCGTTGGTGTTGCGGTCTTCGTGCAGTACTGGTACTGGTTCCCTCTCACACACTTCTTGTCGCTCAGCTTCACCCCAACATCCGTGATCGGTGTCGACCAGAAGCTCGAAATCCCACACTTCAAGTTCCACAGCAATACCCGCCCTAGTCTCTTCGACTACCCCCCTGAGCAACAAGTAAAGGCCGAGGAGGCCCCGGAGAAGGTGAAGACTGCTGTTCTCTCTACCACTGCCCAGGCAAAGCGTCGCGCGCAGCGTCGGGAGAAGCAGGCACGCCGTGAGAGCATGGACATCGACCAAGCGCCTACAACACCTAAAGCTGCTGATCAGCTGGACGCAATGGAGACAGACGATGTTCCTAAGGAGGAGGGAGAAGAAGGAAAGGAGGCAGAGAAGGGTGCGGCAGAGGTGCAGAAGAAGAAAGCAGAGCGGGAGAAGGTCGGGTACGAGCTGGACAACCTGTCAAGGGTACTTCCAGCTCAGCTCAAGTACCTCACTTTCCCCGACCCGCGGTACGAGCCGGTCAAGAGGGTATGTTCATGCCTGTTCGTCCCAATGAGTCCAATGCTAACAAAATTGCAGCCCACTGGCGGTGTTGTCGTTGTTCTGGACAAGCAGCCCGACGAGCCTCGCGAGGTGATCGAATTGAAGGCTAGCAAAGAGGCTCGCCAAGCACCTCCTGCGACCGAAACCCTTCAGGACCGCCTGCAGGCCGCCATCGGAACCGCTGCTCTGCAGACTCCTCAACGGGCCGATGCTCGGGCTGCTCTATCCGCTGCCACCTCAGGTGCTGCGGCTGGTGCCGGTGTCCTGACGGCGGTGGATGAGGATGAAGAAGGCGTGGAGGACGCACCTGTGCCTCGCGAGTTCTCGTACGAGTCCGACGGCGAAGAGCAGTAGAGTGTTGTTGCGGCATAGAATCTTGATGCCGGATGTATTACTAGACTAATCAGGCTGGCTACGCCGACGTGATCTATTTGGGAGGCTAGTATAGCTTTCCGTCACTGTGATTGATATGGAAGTTCCTATGTTACTTTTAAATTCCCCCTGCATTCTTGTCGTATTCTATGCACCCGGTCCGAAGGACCACAGCCGGGTCGTCATAATTCGAACACGCCGGTCAGACCTGCTTGGTGCAAGGGTTTCGGGAGTAGAACTTGCACATGGCAGAGGTACATACATACCTAGTGACGAAACCATGAACCAGACTCAATTATACAAATGTGACTGTTATTCTATATAAGTGTTGCATTAAGTATATATAGCTATATGTCGATATTAGCAGAATTAAAGCAACATGGGATTATCCAATTGCAAATTGGCCTATACTCATCTTCACGCATTCACATGCCAGTTCCAAGGTTTCGGGGCTACGCCGTTTCTGACTCAGCAATCTCCCTGCGCAGATTATGCCTCGGCACTTCCATTATGACGCAGCACGAGCCAATAATCTCTCTGTCAACGGCGATGACCGATGACCGATGACCGACCATGGCTACTACAACGTAAGGTCCCAAGGTCGGCTAGGTGAGCATGTGAACTGGTACTATCATGCTCCGAGGCCCCCTGGTGCATCTTCATGTCCAGACTTGGAATATCGCCCGAACTTCGCGGAAATTGTTTCTTGCCCCATACATATATTCCCCAGCTTCCCCGGACTTGAAATTTTCTTTTTCCTCCCAAACTACTATTCCTTGACCTTGATATAGATCTTTGTTGTACGCCTTTTTCCTTCATCCCTCGCTCTTCTCCTCATCGCCACCATGGCAAAGACATTCAGCAAAGAGGACGTCGCCTCCCATAGCAAGGGTGACAGTCCCTGGATCATCATCGACGAAGATGTCTACGATGTTTCCAAGTTCCAAGATGAGCACCCTGGTAAGTGAAGTCATGCGCGCAGATGCATGGGAATCACATGTTAACAACTTTTTTCTTTCGAATAGGCGGAAAGAAGAGTAAGTTGGGCCGAGAGCATCCGCTACGTCCGATAAATGCGTATTAACAGAGTGTGTCTAGTTCTCCAGCGAGTTGCCGGAAAGGACGCTTCGAAACAGTTCTGGAAGTACCATAACGAGGGCATCTTGAAGAAGTATAAGGGTCAGCTGCAGATCGGTTCGCTGGAGACGAAGAAGGCTTCACCAGCCCCCCCGGCACCAGCGCCAGCCCCGAAAAAGGCTGCTTCCGAGCCGAAGCCCACCGCGTCTGCGTCTTCCGTGACACCGCCTGCCACCGGAGCGCCCCAAGACCCTTATGGAGAGTTGATCCCCTTCGCCGATCCCTCATGGTACCAGGGTGTAAGTCTTGATAAGTTTTGCTTTTGTTATCTGCCACAGAATTGTGGGTTTTACGGTTGCACAGAAGCTAATCTATATGTCGCTCATAGTATGCATCCCCCTACTTTAATGAGTCCCACGCCGCACTTCGAGACGAGGTTCGCCAGTGGGTCGAGTCTGAGATCGAGCCATATGTGACCGAATGGGATGAGGCCAAGGAAGTGCCTGCTCACATTTACAAGCAGATGGGCGAGCGCGGCTACCTGGCTGGACTGTTGGGTGTTCACTTCCCCGAGAAGCACACTCCACACCGCGTGAAGTCTGTGTCACCAGACCGGTGGGATTTGTTCCACGAGATGCTGCTGACCGACGAGCTGTCGCGTGCCGGCAGCGGTGGTCTGGTGTGGAACCTGATCGGTGGCTACGGAATTGGCTGCCCGCCATTAGTCAAGTTCGGCAAGAAGCCGCTGGTCGACCGAATCCTGCCGGGTATCTTGGCCGGCGACAAGCGCATCTGCCTCGCCATCACCGAGCCCGATGCAGGTAGTGACGTCGCAAACTTAGGTTGCGAGGCTAAGCTCACCGAGGACGGCAAGCACTACATCGTCAATGGCGAGAAGAAGTGGATCACCAACGGTATCTACTCCGATTACTTCACGACCGCCGTGCGCACCGGCAAGGACGGCATGAACGGTCTCAGCGTGCTACTCATCGAGCGCGAAGCCGGCGGTGTCAGCACCCGCCGCATGGACTGCCAGGGTGTGTGGTCCAGCGGCACGACTTACGTCACCTTCGAGGATGTCAAGGTGCCTGTGGAAAACCTGATCGGCAAGGAGAACCAGGGCTTCAAGGTTATCATGACCAACTTCAACCATGAGCGCATCGGCATCGTGATTCAGTGCGTGCGCTTCTCGCGTGTCTGCTATGAGGAGTCTATGAAATACGCGCACAAGCGCAAGACCTTCGGCAAGCGTCTCATTGACCACCCGGTTATCCGCATGAAACTCGCCCATATGGCCCGCCAGATCGAGGCCACCTACAACTGGCTCGAGAACATTATCTTCCAGTGTCAGTCCATGGAGGATACCGAGGCCATGCTTAAGCTAGGCGGTGCTATCGCTGGATTGAAGGCGCAGTCTACGCAATGCTTTGAGTTCTGCGCTCGCGAGGCTAGTCAGATCTTTGGTGGTTTGAGTTACAGCCGCGGCGGCCAGGGCGGTAAGATCGAGAGACTGTACCGTGATGTGCGTGCCTATGCTATCCCCGGTGGTAGTGAGGAGATTATGCTTGATCTGAGTATGCGCCAGAGTTTGCGTGTTCACGGCATGTTTGGCATGAAGCTATAAAGCATTTCTTGGGTGTTTTCGTCTGCGGCGGTAGACCGTACCCATTTTGATTCATTTTCTTTTGCTGCTTTTGGCTAGATATCCTCTCGTCTGTGACGATGTTTCTTTTTCTTTTGCTATGATCAGCCTTGTACAATAGCATTACATTGACCTTTGTATATTTCACGATTTACGGTGGACGTTGCCGCTTTTTTGGATATTCGCGGCATATAACTGACTCTGATTCATAACTAAACCTGGATGTCTCCATAGTATACGATATTAGCTGGCCATTAAGTTGGCAAGAACCATAACCACCGACAACGAAAAGCAAGATTCAAAGTATCCATCAAAGAAAGGGGAAATGGCTTAGCAGAATCTCAAAGGTCTCCATGTCCCGAAATCCCTTCTTTGTTCAGACGAGTCGACTATGCTCGAGGGCCCAATTTCCACGTTCAGCCCACTGGACTTCTTTCGATCTCACTCCTTTATTCTCATTTTCTTTGATAAGATTCGAGCTGGTCAGGAAGACCCTGAGAACCGTTACCATTGCGTCCGAGACTCTTTGACACGAATCTATTATTAGGCAAAAGCAGTGAGCTGGCTTTCTTTTGAGCCCAAAGACGGGGACTCGATGTGAAGATATAACTTTGAGACGTGCAAGCCATTTATGTCCACACCTTTCCTTCAAGATTATCTGCCAACCATTCACGATGTCATCTCTACGATCGTTTGAAATTGACGACGACCTTGCAAGCGATGTTGGTGGAACGATCCAAGTTGTATCTGATAAGCATGCCGCTACATCGCTCATACTTGCCAATTTGGTCGCCCGACGAATGCGCAAATTCCGAGATAACGAGGACGACTTCACCGGCTCTGGGACTACTCCATCTCCTGTCAAGTCTCAGCTCAAATGATACCGATGACGTTAGCCACGAATTCCTGCGGGGCATAGCCTATTCTATGGATCTTACGACCATGCCTGAGAACTTGTTGCTTCTGGTTCTCCCGATGCTGCTACATGTTGATACAAAACTTCCGACCCCCGAGGACCTTCATGCTCTGCATGAATTTGCTGAAGCGTCGCCAATGCACCGAGAGCATGTGGAAACATGGTTGAGATCTGAACCGGCTCAAAGCACACTTGAACAAGTTTTCAAGCCATGGGTGAACTACTACAGCTTCAAACCCGCGTACCGATGCAGAGGCGAGATTGCGGCTTACAAAGCTAGTCGAGGTGGTGCTGGGTTTAACTATGCGTACGAATTCGTGAAGGAGTGTCAATGTACAAGCTGCCTCTCACTTCTCGGCAATCTTGGATTGGTCGATTTCAGGAACTACGACCAAAATGGGAGGAGTTTCCTCCATGCAGCTATTGAGGGCGGAGATGCCGAAAGTGTACTGTTCATTGTCGCTACCTTGCTGAAAGGAGGCTTGGATCCTCGTCACTTTCCCACGTCTATCGATGGGATGTCTATTCCCCACCATGTCGCTTTGATGCATGACAATGATGTCTTTGGGGGGGTCGTTGAGTTTCTAGAGGATGCCGGCTACCCTCTATCTGTGTGGAACGATGATGGCCTCAAGCCTGAGCTGTGCAGCTTCATCACTGCCGAAATGGCCGAACGGCTCCTGTCGAAAGGATTCAATATCACCAAGCTGCCCAGAAATACTCTTCCAATGTATCTGCCCAATGAGGATGACCCCGAGTACGAGTCCGGCGAGGAATGGGACCGCGATGCAGGATATGGTGATCCGATCATCCGGGACGAAAACTTCGACCCCGACAATGACAAGCTCGACCCAAAGTCCATTCAATATGATGCGGTCGCAGTCAATCCCATCGAACTTCATCCCACCTCTCGAACAATCTGGCACCGGGCAATCGAGAATCCCGAAGGTCCACGAATCCTTGACTGGCTCTTGGATCACTCGTATACCCAGCCAGGGCGTCGGACCGACTTCGACCGAGATAATGGTGAGACTGCTCTGGTAGCTGCCGCAAGAGGAGACGAGCCAGCTGGCATTGATTGGTTCTGTCAAAACTGTGATCCCATGGCGGGGAGGGTCCGAAATTCCCAGCATACCGAGGCACAGATGCCTATGCGTTACAAGTAGCAGCTCACAACCTGCGGCCCCATTGCGATATCATTTTCAAGAAGCTTTTGCGTCATGTGGACCCGCAATTTTATTCGGACGTTTCTATGATTAAGGGTTTGTATTGGTTGATTATCAAGAATTATCGTGATACGTACCAAAGGTTGGAAGACCATAAGGAGCCAGGCCGTCAGAGAGCTCAGCGAATGGCTCTCCTGCGCTCCCTCACTTCAGCCAAAACTAAAGCGCTGAATAACAGACTAGAACCTTTTTGGGATACCTGGGGGTCGTCTGAACAGCGACATTGGCTCATTCTGTACTGTACGATTCTTAGGTTGAACTTCCTTGTGAAAGTTTTAAGTTCGGATGTCTGGGATGATTCTGATTAGTTCCAGGAGGGGGAAGGTATCAAAATACCCAGGGAGTATACTCGAAGCAAAGCAATGCAATGACTGACTTTGATCACTGACTCCGACTCTTTTGATGTATGGTCCTTTCCTGCTGTTTATGGCGCTTTTTCCTTTCTCTAATTGTTGGCAAACTTTGCTCGATTCATATTTTCATGTTCCCTTGTCTGATGAAGTGAGTTCTCACTATAATATAAAATTGTAGTCTTACTGTATGTTGGCTCGAAGACAGGAATATAGATTGATCGGGCATTCGTTCGTATCAGTGTAATTGAGGACATTGTAGTTTGCCCTGGATCTCAAATCACCTGCTGGGGCTCGTACACCTGACAAGCTTTGTATTTAGGTTTCTCCGTGAATCCTCATCAAGAATTTATATACGTTGTATGCTCTTTGAACTCGAAGGCTACGCAAGTCAAAGGCGGCCAAGTACGGCGCGCCACAACGACCACGTACGCAAGGATTATGCCTCTGGGCAACTCGACCTCCATGCTCCGACACTTTGATTCCTCATTTGCCCTTTCTCACTACGCCTTAGCAAAGCTATAAATCGCGCCTGTGTTGTGGTGTGGTTGCTTCTTCTCACAAACTCCGACATCTTCATTCCGCTCCGTGTTCTTTGTAGGCGGTCGCGGAACCGCTGATTGCCCGCAGAGCTCGACTGTCTGCTGTGCTCCCTCTTAACTTTCCATTCGCTTTTCTCTCGTCTGGATCGGTCTCATTTGATCTGACAATACTCAGAATTTGCTGTCCATCGGAAAATACGCGGACAGTTCACATCCTGCTATCCACGTCTTGCCCCCCAACCCGCGAATTGTAGCGCGGTTTCCTTGGATACGGTTTGTCTTGCTTCTTGCGTATTCTCCTTGTCTTTTCAGTTGCTAATTCTCCTTGTGATTGATAGAGATCTCATTATATCTCAACTCCAAATTACGACGTGCCGAAAGTGGCGCGACCAGATCATTTGCAATAGCGCATTAAGACACTACCTGTCAAGATGTCAAGCTTTCTTAACCAAGACTTCGGGTCCGAGGATGACGAGGAAGATTTCAACCCTGCCCCTCAAGAAGAGTCTGATGTCGAGGAGCCCAGAGCCAAGGTCGGTCTGAAGATTCCTGTCAAGCCCCGATGGACAAAACGCTAACAAATGAGCGCGAAAAGCCAACCAAGAAAGAACACGCAGGTGGCGATGGCGCTAATGAGGAGGATGATGTGAAGTACCCTGCCGAAACAAATGCACATGAGGTTGGCGATGCCAAGGATGTCGAAGATGACGAGGAGATTGAGAATGAAGTGGACGAAGACGAGGAGGACGAGGAGGAAGAGGACGAAGACGAGGACGAGGATGTGGTATGTTCTCCATGGGACCTGGTAATGCACGAGAGCTTTTTTAACTCACGGTCTCTCTTTTAGGCCCGTCCACAAAAGCGAATGAAGCGCGTTGCCAATCCCTTCATCGAAGACGAGGCCGGTGTCGATGATGAGGAGGACGAGGCCGATGATGAGGAAGATGAGCTCGCTGAATATGGCATGGAAACACATCCGGATGATCTTGATGCCCTACCCCAAGGCACCGAGACAGACGACCGCCGCCATCGACAGCTGGATCGCCAGCGCGAGATCGACGCTAGCATGGACGCAGAGAAGCAAGCCCAGATGCTCAAGGAACGATATGGACGCAACCGTGCTGCCGCAACAGATTCTCTTGTGATACCGAAGCGACTCCTGCTTCCTAGTGTGGAAGACCCCAGCATTTGGGGTGGACGCTGCAAGCCTGGCAAGGAGAAGGAGGTCGTATATTCAATCCAGAAACGGATCGAAGAGCGCCCACCAGGCTCCCGCAACCCCATTCGAATTATCTCAGCTTTCGAGCGCGGAAACATTATGCAGGGCTGGTTCTACTGTGAAGCGCGCAGGCAGGCTGATGTTACCGAAGGCTTGGAGGCCATCAACTTCTACTACCCATCCCAGAAGCTGACCCTGGTTCCAGTGAAGGAGATGCCGGATCTTCTTCGCGTCCATAAATCGGAAGAGCTTTTGCCCGGTGGCTGGATTCGCATTAAGCGTGGCAAATACATGGGCGATTTGGCCCAGATTGAGGAGGTCGAAACCAATGGATTGAATGTCACTGTAAGACTTGTTCCTCGACTGGACTATGGCATGAATGACGATGCTTTTGGTGCGCCTGCTGCCGATGCTAAGCGCAAACGCGGTGCTGTGAACACCGTCCGCCCTCCCCAGCGCCTGTTCAGTGAGACAGAGGCGAAAAAGAAGCACGCAAAATATCTCTCGTCTACTTCTGGTCTAGGCGGAAAATCATGGAACTACTTGAACGACAACTACGTGGATGGGTTCCTCATCAAGGATATGCGTGTCCAGCACTTGAATGCCAAAAATGTTAACCCCAGGCTAGAGGAGGTTACAATGTTCGCGCGCGGAGGAGAAGACGGAACTGCCAATTTGGATCTGGCGTCGCTGGCCGAGACCTTGAAGAACTCCACCGCTGAAGAGTCATACCAACCGGGTGATCCAGTGGAGGTCTACCGGGGTGAACAGCAGGGTCTTATTGGTCGCACAGTGTCAACTCGAGGTGACATTGTTTCATTGCAAGTCACCGAGGGCGAGCTCGCCGGTCAGACAATTGACGCGCCTGTTCGGACTCTCCGTAAACGATTCCGGGAAGGTGATCACGTCAAGGTTATCGGCGGTAGTCGATATCAGAATGAACTGGGCATGGTCGTGCAGGTCAAGGATGACACCGTCACTCTGCTCAGCGATATGAGTATGCAGGAGATCACGATTTTCAGCAAGGATCTTCGACTTTCTGCTGAGATGGCTGCCGATGGACAACTCGGCATCTATGATGTTCATGATCTCGTCCAGCTTGATGCCGCCACTGTTGCGTGTGTCATCAAAGTGGACCGGGAGTCCCTGCGTGTGGTGGACCAGAATGGTTCTATCCGCAACATTCTTCCTACGCAAATCGCAAATAAGATTACTCCCCGTCGTGATGCCGTGGCTACTGATCGCAATGGCGCAGAGATTCGAAGTGGCGATACTGTTCGCGAGGTCTACGGAGAGCAACGCAGCGGGGTAATCCGCCATATCCACCGGTCGTTCCTTTTCTTGCATAATAAGGCGCAAGCCGAGAACGCGGGTATCTCTGTGGTGCGGACAACGAATGTTGTTACCGTATCAGCAAGGGGTGGTCGGCCCACTGGACCCGATCTCACCAAGATGAACCCTGCCCTGGCGATGCAAACCCCTGGAGGTGGTGCTGCAATGCCACCACCACGTCGCGGCCGTGATCAGCTTATCGGAAAGACTGTGACTATCCGCAAGGGTCGTTATAAGGGTCTCGTCGGTATTGTTCGCGACGCAGACGACAGCTCCGCTCAAGTTGAACTTTACACATCTAACAAGCCCGTACACATCCCGCGTGACATTCTGACACCTAAAGAGTATGTTCTTCCTCTATTGCATTTGATGCATAGCCTTTCTAACTTTTCCGCAGTCCTGTTTCCAAACAGCCTCTCTCCATGGGCCGTGGACGAGGAGGAGGTGGCCCTGGAGGGCGAACTCCGTACACTTCGGGCGGTCCTGCGAGAGATGGTTGGGCCGGTGGCCGAACACCGATTGCCGCCGCCGATTCGTCCAGAACCCCCGCTTGGAACAGCGCTTCTGCGAGAAGTAAGTACGCTCGTCTTAGAAACGTTGATGAAGATGCTAATCATCATGTAGCTCCTGCTTGGGGTGGCTTGAGTGGCAGCCGTACTCCGGCCTGGAAGAACGACGGCTCCCGTACCGCGAACCCCTACGAAGGCAACCGCACCGCATATGGAGGAGTTGGTAGCCGCACCCCGTCCTGGACGTCAGGATCTAAGACACCATACGACTCCAGCTCCGGCTTCGACGCCTTCGCCTCTGGTTCTCGCACTCCTGGCTGGAACGCCGGTGCAAACACAGGCAGTCGCACTCCCGGCTGGAGCACCATGTCTGCCGGCAGAGACCAGCGTGATTTCGACGATGCCCCGACTCCTGGTGGAAACTACTCCGCCCCCACACCCGGCGCATATGCAGCTCCGACCCCTGGTGCACCAACTCCTGGTGGATGGCCCGAAAGTGCGCCCACCCCTGGTGGAGCTTTCAGTGCGCCCACTCCCGGTGGTGCTCCGACTCCTGCGGCGTTCGATGCGCCAACTCCGGCGATGACTGGAATGGCTGCTACACCTGGTGCTGGGTATGGTGGCAATGATGGCGGACCACGGTACGATGATAGTCCGAGTCCGTAGTTCTTGTTCTCTTTCTCTTTCCAAGTCCGAAAAGCTTGTCCTTTCCACACACCTTTAAGATATCAAACGGGATAGGACCGGTTTCACATATGTATTCTACCTTTTGAATTTACTTTCTTGCAGAATTGCATACGGGGTCAAATGATATTTCCTAGTCACTGAACTTGTATGATCTTGAATGGCATACCCTAAATATCCCGAGCGTAGCGGTCACTCCGCCTGGGAAGACCAACGAGGGAAGCACATTCCCATCAACCGGCATTGCATTATTCCTTTTCATAAACGGCCAATACCCGGTCAATGACATCCGCCGCCCACAGGCACTTCTCATCCTGGAAACGTGGCGTGATGATCTGGATAGCACATGGGGCGCCATCTACCTCATCGGCGTGATCTGCTATCTGTTAGCAATCTATTCGATACAGGAGACGGGTTCGCTGACAGTCCGGCTGCGCATTATCACCTGTTGTCATAGGCTCGGGATCAAGCTCTTTGGACGCTTTTCCAAATGGAATAATGCATACGGGATACTAGATTGGCAGAAGTTAGTACTTTTAAAACTAAAAATGAAGGCGAAAACAGCAGAACGAGACAAAAATTAAGACTTACATCCAACATATTCCATATCACAGTATAAGGAGGCCATCCATACGTGTCATGGCCCACAGCTGTATTCTGGGCTCCAGGAGCCAGAATCACATCAAGCTTCTGATCCACCCATGTCCGCCTCCAGATATCATGGATCCGCTGGCGGGCTACATGCAATGCCTGGATAGTCTCAAACGGTCCTAGACCTTGCTGGACAGGGTACGGGCCAGAGGACATCGGCCCCACAGCCTTAGCAACTGAAGTCACAGCGGGCTCGCCACTGGCCGCAAGAAGATCCTTGTGCGGGCCATAGGTAAAATACTGAAACGCAACACACGACGCATATGCCACACTCTGTGCTTCGTCATCAGCACCAATTCGGACAATACGATGTCCTCTGCGCTTCAACGCCTCAACGGCCCGCTCTAGAGCCCTCTTCACAGGCGGATGGAGCGGGAAATGCTCATCCTCAGCAAGCACGCCGATAGTCAGGCTTCCGCTGACGTCGATACCAGACGGCGTAGTTTGCCACGGGACAGCGACGGCAGCAGAGTCATACTTCCACGCCTGGCCGTCGGCGACGACAGATCTCATCAGCAGCTTGAGATCGGCGATGCTATGTGCCAGCGGACCAGCCGTTGGGACAAGTGTTGGGATCCCCTCCTCGGCGCCGGAGACCTGTCCGCCGAAGGGGATACGGTTGGCTGTTGGCTTAAAGCCGTACACGCCACAGCATAGCGCGGGGATGCGAATCGAGCCGGCGATGTCGGTCCCCACGCCCAAAATCGATCCCCGGAATGCTACTAGTGCGCCCTCGCCGCCGCTGGATCCGCCTGCTGTTAGGGTTGTCTTGTGTGGGTTGAGGGTGCGGCCGAAGATGTTATTCTCCGAGTCTGCTGTCTGGGTGATTGTTAGCTTCACGCTCTGAGCATATCCTGGGCCATTTGGTATTTTTACCATCATTGTCTGGGGAATGTTGGTCTTCACGTATAACACCGCGCCAAGCTGCAGCAGCATCTTCACTAGCGCTGAGTTCGTCTTTGCGGGTTCGTTCTTGAGAAATGCCACATATCCTATTGTGGACTGCACGCCCTCGACACAGAAAGTGTCTTTCATGCTGATCGGCAGACCATGTAGGGGACCAATGGGCTTGCCCTCCCGCTGGAGGTATTCATCTAGGTACTTAGCACGCTCCAGTGCCTGGGGGAAGAAGGTCTCCGTGAGACAGGAGACCTACATAAAAGATGTATTAAGATTATGGCTCCTTTATGCTGTCAGGAATACGTTGTACTCACAACCTGCTGTGCAATAGCCGCCCTCTTAGAAAACGCCGTTGTAACAGCCAACGAACTGACCTGTCCCGACGTCAACTTAACCAATAGCTGACTTGCGGTGTAATTTTCCGTTAGATCCAATTCGACCTCGGAGAGCAGACCACTCTGACGAGGAATACCAATATCCAGTAGACGCGGGGTTTCCTGCGCGAGCGCCAGCTGGTCTGCACTCAGAAACCAGTCCTGGGGAATCTTCTGCTCGCATTCATGGCGTTTGGCGGTGACGAGGTCTTGCCAGTTTCTAAGGGGTGCTTCGGATGCCATTTTGGAGATACGATAGATGTGATTTCATGTTTGTGACCATCTTCCTTTTTATGTACTTTTTGTCCTCGGCATAGCGGCATTTGCCCAATAGAACATATGGCCACCTCCGCTTTGTCCATTTGTCTTGACACCCCACTTGCTTTGGTGATCCAGAGCGTGTCGACCTGCCGCTTTGGGATAGCTTGAAGTCGGAAGGAATCCGCGATAGCGCTCGGGTTGTAGTGTGAAAGATGGTTGAATACACACGTCACTTCATTTTTATTACCACCGTTCTTGCAGGGTACCCCTGTCACATACTGGAAGGATAAAAGAGCTGGTGTGAATGGCGGCTATAGTATACTCCAACCAACTAGCGAACCGGCAATGCAACCCCTCTATCTGCCGTGGTTATCTAATCCCCTCTCCAACATCATCGTACTTTATTGATTATATTTACTTGGCTACCTTTGGACTTCTCAACCGGGGAAACTGGCCAGATGATACACATCGATCTGTCTCCTCCCCCTCACAGCACATAAAATCGAGACACATAGACCCATTCAGCCGGTTGTACAGACCAGGCCTAGCCACAATGAAAAACGATAGAAGAACTGCACCGCTTCCTAAGACACCGTCGCAGGCGGGACAATCTTAGGATCATTTGATAGGCTTGGTATAACTTGCCCCTGGAACGTGGTAGTATAGGTCGTGGGCGCAGATGTAGACGGGGGCTGTCGGATGTACGGACGGTGTAGGGCACCTAGAATAATGGAGGGTGAGGCAGTGAGATGATAAGCCGCTTGGAATCGAGCACATGAACAAGAAAAAGAAAGAGGGTGCTTCACGTGTTTTCCCCTCACCGTTGTTATCTAGCTTGCGCCTCTATAGAATAAGAGTCGGATAAAGAAATAGAAGAGGCCTAGCCAGTGTAATCTAATGATATCCATGATATCCATGATCTTATGCCCAGGTGGCCTTCAGATGTGTTCTAAAATCCCCACAATCTCTAAATCCCAAACGAGAAGGTTGACCCACCGGTGCGTTATCTTAAACTCTATCATATGGGGCATATGCAGGTGCCCAGGTGGTATCAACGGAAATGGAAACCTTGGAAAGAGATTAGCTCATTATCGGAGTGCATAAGTGCATTAGTGTTGTAGTCAACCTTGGAACTTGTTATAGGTACCGGGGTAGGTAAGTCCAGCAGGCCACTTCTGATTTGAGATCTAATATTGCGCCTGACTACTTCAGCCTCGTGTTTTTTATTTTCTTTTTTTCTTCCTCAGGTATCAGGTATCTACTGTATCTCGCGTAAGACTCAGAGTGTCTTGTCATCTACTACTCTTGCCCTTTGCTACTTATACCCTATCACATATCTCTCTTCTATGACTTCCTTTCAACCAAACAACATTCTATCCTGTACCGCAGCTTTGACCTTTCAGCAACATGCCCTTTGCTACAGACATCCTGACCGACCCTTCGGTCTCAGCCTCTGCTAGACAGCAAGCTCTCAATCGCATCCACTCTGACCCAGGACTCCCCCAGAGTTCGACGACCTCGTCGTTCTGGACACAGGGACCACACAGCTTCGGCCAGGGAGCTGGAAAGCCCCTGCCCAGGGAAACTGATATTGTTATCATCGGCTCTGGTATTACCGGAGCAGCTATTTCACGGACTTTGCTCCAAAATCGCGCTTCAAAGCCCTCTTCTACCTCCCATCCATCCGTTGTCATGCTCGAAGCGCGCACAGTTTGCAGCGGTGCCACTGGCCGCAATGGCGGTCATATCCTGGAGACAGCCGAAGAATACAGCGAGTTCGCCGATCACTTCGGCGTGGAGGCCGCGCGTAAGCTCCTCCGCTTTCGATTGGCGCATCTGAAGGAGATGCTCGGTGTCGCAGAGGAGCTTGGCATCACTACAGAGACACAAGCACGAAAGGTTCAGTTCCTGAGCGTTTACTTCGGCGATGAGCCTTGGAAGGCGGCGTTGGATCGGATGCACCGTTTTAAGAAGGAAATGCCGGAGGAAGCTGCTGAATGGATATCTTATGAGGGAGGCGCTATCCCAAGGGTACGTTGACATCCTTTCTTACCACCCAAAACACCGATTTTAACGTCCTTTCTAGGAGTTCCGATTGACTCGTGCCCGCGGCATCATCGCCGGCCCCGCAGGCGCTCTTTGGCCCTACAAATTCGTCACCGGCGTTCTCAAACGTCTCCTTGCAGACTTCCCGGATGACTTCTGGATTGAGGAAAACACCGCTGTGACCGCTATCCATGACGATACCGCCGCCAACGGTCCAAGATACAAGGTCGAGACAGACAGAGGCACCATCACCACCCGACACGTTATCCACTGTACGAATGCCCATGTCAGCCACCTGGTACCCGGCTTCCGTGGCCGAATCTTCCCCGTGCGTGGGCAGATGTCCGCGCAAACTCCCGGCGACAAGTTCCCCAACCAAGCAGCGGATCATTCCTGGCTGTTCAACTACGACCGCGGGTTCGACTACATGACCCAGCTGCCGGCTGGGCAGATGATGCTTGGCGGGGGCTTCGCGCAGAGCGAGGGCGGCGGTCTAGCGGACCTGGGTATCTCGACAGACTCCGATCTTAGTCTTTACATTGATATCCACTTGTCTGGGGCTTTGCGTGCCATCTTCGGGGCTAACGACTGGGGCTGCGTGCAAGGCAACCCAGTGCAGGCCATGTGGACTGGTAATATGGCATTCAGCTCTGATGGGTTCCCTTGGGTAGGACGGTTGCCCGGTGCTGTGACAGGTCGGTCTGAGCATGGGTCTGAAGGGGCCGAGTGGGTTTGTGCTGCGTTTGGCGGGGATGGGATGGTTCAAGCTTGGCTTGGTGGTAAGGCGGTGGCGACTATGTTGCTCGCGCGGGATGCTTCGCTGAGTGAGACTGTCAGTGCGGATCTTTCGTGGTTCCCTGAGCAGCTGCTGGTGTCAGAGGAGAGGTTTGCTGGGACGGTGTTGCCGAAAGAGGTCGGTGATGACGTGCACAGGGCAAATCTTTAGATTGCTTTTTGGGCTTTTGCACAGTAGAGTTGCAATTTCTTTTCAATGCTTCGTTTTGTCTGACTACGCCGCATTCCTTTTCTTAGTCTATCATATTTGATAGCTGAACAAAAGAAACATCTGTTTTAATCCAATCTTGCAATTATTTTTTAAGTCCTGTTGTGCATTAGTCAGGGTTAGGGTTTTCCCGATATGCCGGCTATCTCCTTCAAGTCAGGCTTCCATGTTCTCTCAAGGCTTAACAAGGAATGTGAAACCTATCACTAACGACCATTGGTGAAGGGCAAGTGCCTTGTACCCCGTATCATGTACGTTATCCAGGAATCCCAAAGCTACGGTATCATTTCGTACAACTTCGGTAATCTCTCCGGCAAGACAAATGTACAATCCGGCAACGTCGTGGTCATGAATGGCAATACATAAATCCATACCATTCAAAATATCCAATGAAAGCTCCAAGTATCGATACACTTGATTCGAAAAGAAGATCCTCTGGGGCATAGCCCAATATCACCCGACACAAACCGCCCGACTCCAACCCAGGCAGCCAAGTTTCGTCAACCTCCAGTAGGAAGCCCCCACTGCCAAAAGAAAAACAGGCATCCGAAAACCAGGCCATGACGTAAACTTGTAACAAAGCAAGCTGTCAAAAAGCATGGCCATGCTCCACGATATCGCGATAGCGACCTGCCATTTCGCGCCGAGCATACTTGCCCCGAAGGACCATTGGGATAATCGTCGCAGTAATAGCGAGACTCAACATCCCGCACGCGATGAACATGTTCTGTATGCCACTGCGCTGGATCCATGGAGATATCACGAATGGAACACCGATACCGACCGCGTTGTGCATGAACGCCACAGCGGTGAAAGCATCACCGGTGATCTGGAAATGGGTGTTAGTATGAATGTGTCACTTCAAACAAAAGAGGTATCATGTATCTTGAAACAAGATAGGCTAGCGAGCAACAAACCGTATCTCTCTGTAACTGTCTATGACTAACACCAATGCAGCATCACTAATACTGCCCAGGCCAAACCCGAAAAAAGCACCTGCAGGGTTCGGCTAGATCCAGTGCATTCCCTACAACCCAGAAAACAGCATGTTAGCCCTCACTCATCAACAGATCCTCAGGTCGAATGCAAACTTTGACTGTGAATGTTGTTGCCTTACCCTAGAAATCGTTGCACCGAACATGATAAGGCCACTTGCCATGAAAATTGCCGGAAGGTGTAAGACGTACAACCGCATTTCGGGCTCGTAATGTCCCCTGTTTCGTTTTGCGTAGTACAAAATCGACCGATCACCGAAGAAACCGCCGTATACTGTACCGATGATGTTCCCAATCAGGGGACCCGCGCTAGTGTATCCGATTTGGGCAGGTGAGAATAGGTATGGCGGCTCTGGGAATGTGAGTGACAACACGTTGGTAGTTACCGTTAGCCAGGCTAATCCAGCTGCATATTGAATCACGACAAATGTCACAGCGGGAAATATGAGCACGCAGAAGGGGCGGTACAAATGCGGCCAGATTGACTCTGGTGTCGGCGTTGCCAGGGCAAGTCTCTTGCGCCAGGCGTTCGGCGGTATAGTGAAGTCTAGTACATGGTGAGAACGAGCCTGTTTATTGATAGAAGAGCCATTGGATGAAGACCCGCAGTCAAATTTGTCCGGTCCATCTCCGTTGATTGAGATGGGTGGATCGTATTCTTCAACAGTGGCGCCCGCTTTCCCAGTCAACACAGGGACATACTTAGTTTCCTCGTAGATGAAGAGAAAGAGGAAAAAAAGGATACCGTTGAAGATCCCCATAGTCTGATAGCACGAACGCCAGCCGTGCTGTGTGGCTTGTGCCCCTGCAGTCATGGGGGTCAAGAAGCTCAATACATGGTTTCATCAGGTACCTGTATAAGTCTCTAGACTATGAGGTCGGGATACTTACACCAATCATGACATATGTTCAGTTAATCCATTCATACTCCCCCGACGATGTACGAAGAACAAGTCGGCAATCTGGATAACATTAACAGGGCACCTTAATATCGGTCGAAACATATAGCTCACTGTTATCTCCGCTATCGAGTCGTTGGTCGCACCGGCCAAACCTTGTCGCAAGTTGGTCACATACAGCTCTGTCAGACTGTTCATTCTGGATGTCCAAAATGATGTCGTCAACATCAGTGCTGTCGAGACGATGTAAATTGGCCGCCGGCCGTACTTTTTTGCAAAGGGAATAACAAGAATGCAACCAGTCTTGAGACCGACAAAATTTACCGACATGGCTTTGTTCAATTCGGTGTAGGTGACGTCCAGGTCAATCGTCATCTGCTGCCAAAAAATGGCTTGGATGGATAACCTGACATGACATTAATGTTATCGGTCTGGCTTATGTACGATGATTGTTCGCGCTTACGCTGTAAATATAGCTCAGTCATAGCTAAGACAATTGTGAAATTGGCTGATTTGCGCATGGTGCTCCAGTTCTATAAATTTTGGGATTAGCCGCTCAATAGGTAGACATGGATGAATCGAGTTTCTGGCTCACTAGAGGCCCATTGGGTTTGGATAAGGGAATAGGGTCGAGAAGGACAATGTGTTGCCCGTGCTCATCTACCTCGTCATCTGGAGAAAATAGCTGTGAATAAACACCCCAACCCGGGAGAGTAAAGGAGTCTCACCTCGAATCAGTTTGAATGTGCCCGGAGGTTGATCCGTTTCATCGTCGACAGAGGATATAACTTGGAATTTTCCCATTTCTTGAGTTATAGACGCGTGTAGAGCTGAAGAGCATGTTTCGAATATAAAAGGAGTGTGCTAGTGGAGGTGTAAGTCCCGACGGCCCTTAAGACGTGGTCAAGCCCTTTATATGCAGCCAAATCCCTGCTTAACTTTACAGTCAGGTAGTGGCTGAACATGCTAGACGTTGATCCTTTGACTCCAATGCTGCGGATTCTACAGATACGAGAATCCAGGCAGAGAGATAAGCCATGTCTGTGACCCGGATATCATCCAGGAGTTTCACATCAATTGGAGATGCCGAGGGAAAGATCGCCGAGGTGGAATTGGTAATCGAGGTTGCTTATCTCCAGGGCTTCAATTCATGGGTGTTCTGTTGTTCTTTTCGAACACGGGTGGTTGGGGGTTATCTTTTGCGTCAGCCTTCCTGATGGGAATAGCGTGCGTTTATACCTGCGATATAGAAAGAACAGTTGAGTATCTCACAATCAGATTAAGAATAGCTGTGCCAGATTTACAACTATATCCATAAATTATATCAACCCCATCTCTAGACGTTTTTGTCGAGCCAACTCATGCACACTCAGATTTGGATCTTCCTTCTGCCATAACTCTTCCAGCAAACTAAGAAGAACCTCACACTGATGAGAACCTAGCAAACCGTTCCTAATGGTCTGTTTCCATTCCGGCTTGCGACGCAGGACACTGGCTTCCAATCCAGCGACAAACATAGGAAACAAGATTGCATTCTTGATGAAAACATCTTCCGTTGGGCGCTCACCTGACGCGAGACGGAGAGCATCAAGACTAGCCAGGATTCTCGCAACAAGAACGGATGTATCTGCCGGACACTTGGCAGGCTGCCGCCGTGCCGAGATATTGTTATTGGGAGTAGGAGTAGAAGACGTGTTAGCTTGTTTTCTGATGATCAGGATACCAGCCAGTCGATGTGCCTCCCACAGATAACATTGTAAAAAGGTCCCTGGCTCGCCAGCCCAGTCCCAAAGAGTCTGCTCCGTAGTCTCCGCGCCTATCCCAGCAAATATATCAAGTAGTGTACGAGGAAGACCGCTGACAGGCTCGATACCATACCTGAGTGCCGCGGGTTGGCAATACCGGCGCCAGATACCGATCTCTGGAGCCTGGCGACCAACCGAAAAGCAGGCAAGGTCTAGCACTCCCATCACTTCGAGGAGGTGGATACGAAATTGAGTTGGGGTAGTTTGGCGGTGCAAATCATCGAGCCCGTGGCTCTGCAGGATGTTGTGCATACCTTCTAAATGCATAGTCCAGGGCAGGCCGTGCATCAGCTGGGATCAGATCAGTGTCAGAACCTTAAGCTAGAGGATAACCGAAACAAGAAGTTGAGGTTACGCACGCCAATGGTACACAGCAGCAGCCCCGAAGTCAACGTCCCATCGGATAGGGTCGTGCTGCATGCTAGTTCTGATCGAAAGGTCTTTAATGCGGTGTCGAAGTACTCGCAGAACTGAGAGGTGGCTGTGCTCGATAGTGCGAGTTGGAACGCAATGCAGATAGAATACAAGGCGCTGGATTCTCGACAAAGCTGCGGGAGACGCGGATAAAGCATGGTATCTCTTGCTGTTGTCGAATGAAGCACGTTAATGCCGTTGTTCATAACTACTCAATATCAGTATCAGTGTTAACCAAAATGGTCTCCTGCTGCGAACTCACATTCATTAAAAAGAATCTCATCCTCAACCACCCTCTGCGAAACCGCTGGCTTCAACCCCCGACCGCCATCCAAAGCTACATAAGCATCAATCAATACTGACCTCAAGACCGTCATTTCAAGATCACACTAACCAGAATCCGCTTTCTGTTCAACCCGCCTTCTTCTCTCTCTACTAAGATCCCTCTGTCTCCCCCTCGGCCTGGACGACACAGAGTTATTAACCGGTTTATCGGCACCAGCAAAGTGACCGCGCGACGCAATCCCCGCACCCCATCTTAGCCGAACCTCGTAGCCCTCGCAAAAGGTCCCGCGCTCGGCACAATTTTGGCACGAAGGGCGGGCGTTGTCGCAGCGACGTCGCCGTCGTTTACACGTCCAGCAGCCTTGATGCGAGCGGGTCGACATTCCTGATTTGGGGGGTTGTACTTGGAAGCGTTGCGCGGAAATGTGAATGGCCCGGGGTCCTTTAATGCAATGCGGGGGCGGTAGATCATGCGGGTTCATGATGGCGCGCCCCGCCCGAGTGCTTGGCATAACTCGATTTGGGGCATGCATATGTTGATTATATTTCATCTGAGAAGATTACGTCAAATGGAACTCCAGCTTGAGCACCTAGCTCTGTGAGCTGATGGGATCAGGACAGTAAATGGACAGGTCCATATCTTGAGGGCCATACCGACATTAGTTAGATTGAGCTCGGTTTAGATCTCCTCTGGCGGAACAATATCGATCCTGCTAATGTCGTTTTTGGATTTGCCTTCTATGGTCGGTCCTTTACTATGAAGGATGAAGACTGTACTGAGCCAAACGGAAAATGCCAGTTTAGTACTGGAGGCGCCCCTAGTACCTGTACAGATACAGCGGGCATTCTGTTATATGCAGAAATCAGCTCTCGAAACAACTCTAGATATGCACACTCATTACGACGCGGAGACCACGGTCAAATACAATGTTTACGAAGGTTCATAGTGGGTTTCATATGATGATAAGCAGTCTTTTACCGATAAAAAAGTTCATTTCCAAGCACTACTTAAGTGGCTGGATGGTATGGGCAATTGACCAGGACGATGGTGAATTTAATGCCCTATCCGGTCTTATTAGCGAGGACCTTTCGTTATTATAAATAGAAAGCAACACCGATGGCCACTCGAAAAAAATCATTACTAATACTTTTGCTGCCTATAATGGTCAGAACTATTTCGTAATAGATCGCTACACCGATAGGTCAAGTAAAGAGAAAAACCCAGATTAGGTATGCCTATCGGGATACATATCGGTTAGTATAGCGCATAACCCACTACAGGCTGGAGGCAAAGAGCGCTATAGAGACTGCGATGAGGGCTGGTATAGGAGTATCTGCTGTCTAAAAGATGCTATGCCCAAAAACTGCGAATAGAATGGTGCCCCTAAGCGCAGCGAGTTTGGTTATGATGATAAGTGCGGCAGCAACTAGTTCAAGCTTAACTAAGATACCGTATTAAATGCTAAGGGCGAAGGTTAGTGCTTTACCGGGGCACGTTACCTCTGCTGTGACTCTACTATCATGCTTTAAAAGGTGAATAGACCGACTATTAGGGGCCTTTAGTTATCGATGATCCGGCTTAATGTCCTAAATGTGACGACTACTACACTTATCGGTTTGATAAGCTAAATGGTAAGCCGTGGTTCTTAGACACGTATATCTTAGAAGTGGATAGTTTAGTCGGAAGTCCGTATAAGCAATCTTTTAAGAGTAGACTTTATTATTCCTATAATTAGAGCTTTAAAAACTGCTAATAGACTAACTTATATATAAACGACGACCCCCTAAGAGCTGACGAATGTAAGCCACGACCCTACTCGGCTGGTAAAGTCAAGATTGCTAGCGCACTTGATCCGAAAACGCCTACTACCGGCAACGCTAGTAGCATCGGTAATAGCTATATATGTGACTCCTACACTCCGGAGGATAGAATGGACCTAGAGTGGTCGTACTATTGCGATCCACCCACTAGGTATAATAGCGACTAGCCTATTAACCCTAAATATCTATAGGAAAAGTACTATAACGAAGTTGACGAGTCCGACGTGGTCTAGAAATATAGCGACGAATATACTAATAATAATTAGGATAATAAGCGCTCTACGAAAGAGGATGGCTCTAATATATATAGCTTTATTATACTCGATAGACCTAAGGGCTCTATCGATAACGACTTTTCTTCTAGTTATACTATTGTTCGCCGCTCGCCTAATACCTCTATAACAAAACGCTCTATTCTAACTAGTAACCAGACTATTATAGGTAACATCTTTAATTATACCGAGGAAACCTTCTATATCTACTATAACTTTCCTATTAGCTCGAAAGAATGCGAGCGCGTGTTTATTAATAGTGTAGATAATACTATTGTCTCCCTTCCACCTTATATAGGTAAAGGTTCTTTTACGCGTATCGTGTCGATAAAATTGGCCGATTAGGAATTCTAACTACCCGAGCACCACTTATAGTACCGACCCTTAAAGAACATCTCGAACCTAGTTTACGAAGTCAAAATTGACTACAACTTCTAAGATATCAAGCTTAAGCGGGATAATGATACTGTCCAAATTCGTATTGACTACACCAATTTGATAGGTCACTAGGACGAGATGACTAACTCACCGGCCAGTCGTATGAAGCGTGGGATAGGAGAGTATAGACTTACCCAAAATAAGTGGCGTGCCCGCGTTTAGCGAGCCGTAATACGCGACAAAAAGGTTAGGAAACGCGAGGAGCCTATCTAAATCAAAACCCCGATAGAAGTCTCTAAGGTGCAGCCCGAGAAGCGTTAGTTCGGCGCGTTTAGGGAGTGGTTAAAGAAGCTAGTAAGTTCTTCCTCACTCCACCCTTATCTTTGAATATACTAATCTCAAATTATAGATCACTATGACAAAGTCCAGCGTGCGTGTAATTGAGTTAGGTCTTAGTAGAACTATTAGCCTCTTCTACGCCAAATGGGGGTGCCCCGGGGAGACCTACTTTAGCGAATTGTCGATGGATCTAGAAGCCGATCTTTCCATAGATACAACTTACGCCTACTATCTCTCGGCCACATTTATTCCCCTAGCAAGCCGGAGACATTCGCTTATTTTAGAATGGAGCCTGAAGCTTACCTTAGTTATAGCGCAGACGCAAACTGAACGAAAGAAGATTTACCCTAGACTCGCTGTCAAGGGGATTGCGGCTGTTAGACCCATATTGGATATGTACGGGCAGGTAAGCTTCCCCAATTATTCCTAGTACTGCTTTATTGCATGTCTAATGCTATGATCCAATCCAGATTCGCGGCAAAACTACGCTCTTCGGCTCACTTGATACAGGAGCGAGGATGTCTTTCGGAAAGGCTGAAGTCTTTTGGCCTCAGGAAGATGATATGCAAGAAAAATTCTCAAACTTACTCGGTCTTGAGAGTAAAACTGAATCTCCCGCCCCGGGTACAGTTGAACCAGTTTTCCACACTGGAGTCGCCGTCGATGCACAGATTGATGTTCTCATCATCCCACAAGCCAGCATTCGTATCAAGATCGGTGGTGGTAAGATAGTTGCGGGTAAAACCTTAATGGATGCTCAGCTAAGTGGCTATGTGAAGTGCGGGCACAAAGAAGATACAAGGTATCTAGACAATGATAAGGTGTACATGGGCCATGTTGTGGAATTAAAAGAGTAACCAATTGCATGTCCTAACTCACTTTACTGAGATTACTGTGAGAACCAAATTCGTTCTTGTCAATACCCCAATGGAGGACCGAATCTTGTCTTGTAGCAGCCCTCACAACTTCATAGACCCTATGGCTACGTCATTGGGTCGATTTCCTCTTTCCATTTTATACGTGGTGGGAATCGCTGGTTGGGACTTCTTCGTTTATTCTGTACACAGGCCTTGCGAGCAATCCATGGGCTAGAATATTTGTTGGCGGGAGAAGCGCTACTTCCTGATTCGTTCCTGGGAGCAGTTGTGCCCTCTCTGTCTTATCAATAAACTCTTAGAAGATACCGTCGTCACCCCTCAAGTAGTTTCCTAAACCCAAAGCTCCTGGACTCCTGGGAACAGCTATCTTACTGTAAGCCCGCAGAAGTCCCAAGAACTTAGTTCTATTGGCTCTGCTGTGACAACAAGGCATCAATGTAATTGTACAGACGCGCTCGAAATCAGTTTCATCACGTTCTCTTCGATTCTTTATTAATTTCTATTTTTAAACGCACTAGACCATATTAGAGTTAGCTTCTGTTCAAATACCGACGCGTACACGCATAGCTCGACGCGCTTTATCATTATAGCGAGCCAGAGCCAGGGCAAATGTCTTTGCACCCCCTGATTATGGAAGGTACGATAGAATCTTTTCAGCGCCAAGAAGTGGCAGAGGAAATCAAGTACATAGGTAACTATATCGTCCTAGAAACAGCATAGAACCCATGCACGTCTATTGTAGTGCGTACTTTTTTACCATAAAACCAAAAACCATATCTGCAGTGAACCACAAACGAAACCCCAGTAAAGCCTACATCAGAAGAATACATAATACAAAGCGGCAAAGCCAATCACGGCGGCACCGCTCGAGCCAGCAGACGGATATTATCCACAAAGCCCTTAACGAGGTCCTCGTACTGGTTCTTGGGATCGCCCGACATAGCAAGCTGGCCCTGGCGACGAATTTCCTCAGCCGAGACTTCGACTTCAAGCTCGTGCTCAAACTCATTCTTGCCCGGTTGTTGCTATGATATGGTCAGAAGACGGTTCTTGAGGGTGACACAGAACATTTGAATAAACTTACATCGGATTTGGCTACTTGAGTCAAGTCCACCTGGTACGCCAAGTGGCGGTAACTCATGCGATCTTTGATGCGATCGCCTCGTCCGCCTTTTGTGACTGCTGCATCCACCACTGGGAGATTGCTGACATCGCCTGTGTATTCCATTTCCAGGTTGACACTGACGCGCCAGTCCACAGTCGTGCGCGGGCTGCAGACATCCACGTCGGCAACCCGACATTTGACTATTTTCGCGAGGATCTCACCGGTTCGCTCATCGGTCGTCACTCGGACTTTGGGCTTGTGTCTCGGGTTTAAATTTTGACGGATCACCGGGGGCAAATCAGATGCTTGTATCTCGTAGAAGGTGTCACGTTCTTTCTTGTGCACGTATGCAAGTGGGATTCGGGTCGAGTTGGGCTGCGGCATTGACGCTTTCACAGCCTCATTCAGGAAGTTATTCATAGCTCGGTGTTGTTCCTATAGATTATGGTAAGTAATCTTCATCGGGGTCGAGGAACTCTCGCTACGACATTGGGAGTCGACTTACCACAGTCATCTTGCTCTCAAACGATGTCCGAATCCGTGCATTCTCCCGATTGAGGACACTCTCGGTTAAAATTGGAAGGTGGATACGGTCTCTGCTGTCCAAGTCAATGATGTGGCCCAATTTCGCCTCAATCTCGATGATGGTCCCCTGGCCGGCGGCAGCAGAGCCTGCTGGTCTGGCATTCACATCATTTCTCATGACTACGTGTTGAAACAAGAAATCACAAAGGGTTTTTGTAATCTCCTCGTGTGGAATGAAGCCAGTAATGGAAGGCTCCCAAGGGCCCAGCGAGCCTACCGCCTGTGGATTACTAGGCGGGCGAAGCGAGGGAGCTGACGGAGCTGGGGGAGCTTGCGCGCGAGGCGTACTTGTGCTTGGCGAAGCAGCAGCAGGTGCTCGCGTGACCCGTGCGGCGGGTGTGGCAGCCATCATCGAGGAAGACCGTCTACGAGTAGCCGAAGAGGGATTCTGCTGACTCTGTCGCGCATGTCTTGGAACCGGGGGACGGGGATTGGGAATAATCGGGCGTCTGCTTGTGTTGCGGGGCGTCAACCGAGCATAGATCGGAGGCTCGTTGTACCTCCTTCTTTTTGGCTTGGGCTGTTGTGCATCAACACGGGGTTGGTTGTCGACTTCCATTTCCACGGCATGGGCGCCTCCGCGGGCGCCAGAGGGCGAACTGTCCATTTGACTGCCCGGTGCCAATGGGGAGGTTAGGAAATCTGATCCTGCGACGGTGGGATTTTGTGCAGCGGGACTCTCAACCAGCATTCGGTCTTCGGAAGTACGAGTTTGACCGGCGGTCCCTGACTCGGAGGCCGCGACGATGCTATTGTGACGGGAGATGGACTTGGGACTGGCGCTCTCAGTTAGCTCTTGCTTTGAGCCGCCCGAAGTGAGATGGGTCGGCTCCGAGGGGTGAGAGCTATGCGGAGATCGTTGAGTGACAGGTGACTGCGTTGGAACCTGCTCTCGTATGGACGCCTCCTGTGTGGGCCTCGGGCTGGATAGGGGATTGATGGGGGAATCGTGTCCGGAGGACGGCGGGCGGGCGGTTGATGGCGACTGGCGTGTGGCAAAAGTAGGAGGAGGACCTAGGGGGGTGCCAGGAACAGATCGGTGTGCAGTGGGAGAGAAGTGCTGCGATGGAAGAGGTTGCGACGCAACAGGAGGGCTGCGGAAAGATTCGACTGGAGATCGGGTTGTTGTCATCACCGATTGCAGAGATTGGGACCGCTGCTGAGAGCGCTGCTGGGCGAAATAAGACTGTTGTTCCGGGTGCTGTGGTCCTGCACTCATCGGCTGTGGTGTGTATGGCGAAACCAGAGCACCACCGGGGTGTTGGGGATGCGACCCGTATGCCGGCGCGCCAAATGGATCACGCGTGCCGGGACCATACGGTGTCGAAATGTGCGGAGGTGTCTGACTGCGCTGCGCTGTATTAATCACTGGGCCCGAGTTGAATTGTTGGTATGGCGATTGAACGGATGCGTAAGGTGAGCTTCGCTCTGGGGAAGCGTGCTGCGGGTGTTGCAACGGAGAAGGCTGGGGCGGACGTGTAGGATATTCTGAGTAAGAAGCTGCCTTCTTCGGTCGCTTTTGGGGGGTTTGATCGGATATGGGAGAACTGGCCGAGTTGCTTGGAGGTGGATTGGAGGCGCCGCCGTCGGTGTTCATGATCGTGCGCAAATCCATCGTGACTGCACCCACTTCGGGACCACTTCGACCACGCGAGCACTTTTATCAAGAAATACACGCGACAGACGATCGCGACATTCAGACGGTATCACGAGATGTCGGGGAACAGAAAGAAGGCGGCGGGACAATGAGCGTGGATGGACAAAGAGGAAGGGAGAAGTTCTCGAACTGCGGAATCGCGCGAATCAGGGAGCTGAGAGGATCGTCGCCGCTTTAGGGAACCGGCGACATCAAGGTCCAATGGTCTGTATTATGTGTGAATTTGTATTGATTAGAGAGATGTCTAAGTTCTACGTTGGGAGCTTTGGAGCTCAAAAATGTCCAGCGAAGCTCCCGTAGAAAACGGAGCTCTTGGAAGTATGATGCATTCGGAGAGTTTGGTAGAGTGCGCCATGGAAAATATTTATTATCTTATTGGGATTACTCAATTCATACAAGCGTCTAACGGTATTTGACGTGATATATGTGTTTCAACCTCTTGAATCCTCGGTGGTGGTAAAAAGGCCACGGTTGTGCTCTCGCGATGTCTTGGCGTAGATACCTCAGGCAACTATATCTGCGCTAAGCCGTTTTGGGGACTATAAACTGTCCTCCCATCAATGTCAAGGTCAACCTCAGTCAGTATAGGAAGATAATGTAAGTGAGAGTATAGAAAATGCAAGCATTCCAAGCTCTAACCAACTAAGCCGACAGCTTTCTTGATTGTATTGCCTCCCGAACTACTTTACACTTCGGCCATCTTTCCGAATGCCTTGTTTACCTATGCCTACATTTGTTTGTCAAATGCCTCTTTCCCCAGGCTTACGCGTAATATATAGTTTGTAAATATCCTGCCTCCAGAAACTCAATCCATCTTTGTTTCTTTCCCTTTCTGTCTGGGGCATCCTTGTAGGTGTCCTAGAGATCCCTTTCCCACCACCTCCCTATTACCTCTGCCATGGCATCAAAACCGTGCAAACGTCCAGGTAGTAATTTTACTTCAAGATGTCCAAGTTATTCTTAACCTAACACATTCATGCAGCCAGAAGACGCCAGATTGGGCAATGAGCCTAGCGATGAGGCCTCTGGCTCGTCTGTAGAGACGAACTCCCCTCCTCGTTGGGACCCCGAAGCTGTTGCTGCTGCCCAGACTGCTTCAAAAAGTAAGTTATTATCTATTCCTTTGAATGGTGCTCAGATCCCTTCCTGCAGTTTCATTCTAATGTTTGCAGTTTCATTCTAATGTTTTCGATAGCCCACCCTACACTTGACACTGCAGGGAACCCCATGTTGAATCATTGCACCACTCCATCAATGTCCATAATTGTTTCCTTGCCCCCAGTCCGCGATATCAACTGGCGTGATGGTAATAAAAAGCATATTACCACCCTGCGTCACCGTCGAGCTGCGCTTGGTCAACGTTACCGTACGGTTGCTTTGCCTGGACAAGAGAGTGCACACTGCAAGAGAGGGGACGGCCCTTTCGAATCTTGTCTTGTCTTCTACCCACAAGGTTTTAAACAGGCTTTTTTTTTTTTTTTTTTTTG